ATATAACCATAGCCAATCGTTGTACAAATATTCTGCTTACGTCCTTCCTCTTAGAAATATGTTCATCCAATTATGCCGCGATGTGGCATCATTTAGCGCATTTTACCGACTATACGACGACGAGTGTTCTGAGGAATTATTCTCCCTTATCCCTCCATCAACTTTTCTTCAGAGAACCACTCGCGCTGGCCTACGTTGCCACCGAGTTACTGTGGCCACTATTCCTACATGAACAAAGAAATTTGGTGACTCGTTTCTTTCTTGTACTATTCGTAAGTGGAATTCTTTTCTCGCGCACGTGTTCTCTCCTTTCTACGATCTGGGGTACTTTAAGTGAAGATGCATTTTTGCAGGCAGGCAAGGTAAGGAAGTTGGTGTGGCGGTTTATAACTGCTGTACCAAGTATCTTTGCGTTTGGACTTTATCGCCACTTAACATCAGGTGGAGTAGAGTCATTTTCCTACCTGAATATATATATAAAAAAGTAGGTATCCCCTACTCCGTATATGATAACTACATTGACACTGTCTATAAGTTTTTTGTCTGAGAAAATATTGAAAATGATAATTTCCGGTCTTGGCGGCTTGGCATTACTCTAGTCTGGGTTTATACAAGTATGGGATCATCCTAGCCAGACTCATCCTATCCTAGATTAACCATATCCCGGGTGTGCCTGGGGTTGTCTTCAGAAAGCCCTATGATTTCGATAAAGACTTTACTTACTCATTTATTAAAATTGTCCTCTTGATTACCCATTTTCATGCTTCCTTGTTTTATATCTTCACTTAAGCTAACAAGAACAACTAAAGCAAATCAAAAGAAGATAATAACTCCTTACGTAATTTTTATCGCAAAGTTTACGAAACTTGACATTTTATGAAAATTATTAAAAGGCGTTCTTCTTAACTTAATCAAAACCCTTTCTACTAAAACACGGTCAATCGAAAGAAAATTATGCTTGCTCATCATCGGCCGCTCGACTAAAGTTAGAAATATACTTATGTGTCCAATTGTGTTGTGATGCATCACACAGCTATTGGTTTCATACATTTAGTACGGTTAGAACTATATTTGTGTGTCGCGATGTGTCGAAACCGATAGCTCTCTGATACATCACAACACAACACGACAGATAACTGTAGTTCTACCATAAGATATCTCAATGTTACGGAGTTGTGTTTTTGCACCCTAGCATCTTTAGCCTTTAAATCTAAAGAAAAGTTTACTAGAAAAAAATCCACGCGGACCAGGCAGCGGACGGGGCTCGAACCCGCACCCTTCGCTATCCGGGCGAATGCACTGACCATTATGCTACCACGGCTAATGTTTAATACTTGAAAAAGTATTCATTTGACATTGTGGGTTACCTACAATGCGAAGAGATGGCGCTGCCTTGCAGCTTAAGGCTAGGAAAATTTCGACGCGGCGAATAGGGCCGTGGTAGCATAATGGTCAGTGCATTCGCCCGGATAGCGAAGGGTGCGGGTTCGAGTCCCGTCCGCTGCCTGGTCCGCGTGGATTTTTTTCTAGTAAACTTTTCTTTTAAACATCTAGCAGTTAAATGCTTAAAAATAAATAAAAACATAATCTTTAGCCTTTTAATATCCCCCACTGTTGGGGCACAGGCCTTTCCTTTGGATGTCATTGGGGGAATGAGCTATGACTCACCACGCAGGCCCAGTATGGATTGGTGGATGCTAACGACTGCAGATGCAGCCGGGACCAACGGCAATTTCCGAAGCACGGAGGAGCTCGGGATAGTAAGTTTTTGGTTACTCATTGGCCATAAGGTAAGTTACTTCTACGATTACAGACCGAACGTGATAACCACCTAAGCTCCTTCTCTTTTTTGCACCTACCCACATAAAAAATAAGGTTTTTTGAAGTGAAATTTCTTTTTGGATGGGGTGTAAAAGGAAAAGTGTGTCTGTCTGCCTGTTACCTCTTCACGTTTAAACCTTTTAACCGATTTCAATAAAATTTAATATAAAGATAGTTGAGTGTATAGAGAATCCAGGGAAAGGATATAGTTTAGTTTTTATAACAGAAATCTCCGTCTCAGGGGCTAAAAAAGGGGGGTGTTGGTATGGGCAACCAATTTTTCCAGATTTATATATTAATTATTTCAAGCATTTAACTGCTAGATGTTTAAATCTAAAGAGAATTGTGGGTTACCTGCAATGCGAAGAGATGGCGCTGCCTTGGAGCCTAAGAAATGCTAGAGAAAAATCGACACGGCCAGGGCCGTGTGTATTTTTTTTAGTAAAGTTTTCTTTTAAACTTTTGTTTGGTGGTTTCGTTTTTCTATCTTTATGTAAGGTTCCAAGACTCAAAAAGCTACCCCGTTGAGTCTCCGTACTTTATTCATTGATAGTGAGAACAGATGACAGTATGACAACTGTCTACACGTATGTTTGTTTATTGACTACCTCCGTGGCCGAGTGTACGCCGGGTTTCATAGTGTCGCCTACTCGAGAACTCGCGGGTTCGAATCCCGGTAGGGGCAGATGTTTGTGTGATGAATACGAGCATTTGTACTCCAGTCATGGATGTTTTTACGTATTTCTATATAATTATACTTATATATGTACAGTATTATGTATTCTACCTTAACCCTAGTATCCCATAACACAAGCCTTATAGTGCTTACTTTGGTGCTAGCCTAATTGGTGTAAGTGTCGCCGCACACGGGCCACCGACCACAACCACAAAACGCCGCCACCGGCATATTTCTTGTAGTTTTCATACATATTATATGGATTCGCCACACACGGTACCGCGGAGGCGTCACTCGCGCGATTCCCCACCCCTCTCTCCCTTACCTTAGTCGGCCGCTGTCGCGCGCTTCAGCCACTTTAGTAGCCGCTTCTAGCTTCTCGTGGCGGCGTTTGTGGCTGTGGCGTGTGGCCCGTTTGCGGCGACACTACGTGTTGAATTTTTTGACGTGACAACGTCTTAAATTAGGTTGCGGCTGGGAGTCACTTATGAAAAAGTGTAACGCTCGGTAACGTTACGATGAGTCTCTCGTGTTAAGTTTAAGTTTACATGTACAATGTTTTAGTAAACAAAATATATTTCTATAGTTAAAATTTGTGCAATTCTTATTTTCATTCAATTCCTTGTTCCTATTGTGCAATTTTAATTATATTCATATCAATAAATATTCTACCGAGAAAAAGACGTTGTCACGTAAAATCTTCGCCCGTAAAACCGACTTTACAGGCAACCATTTTTTTTTTATTAATTTTTATTTTTGGGACTATGCAATCCTAATGGGACTGTAGTCATTGCGACCTATAAGATCTATTGTGACTCGCCACCAAGTTAAAATATCTATTTTAGCCCGATAGCTTCCAAGAAGCTCAAAAGGTTTTAGAGATTTGATTTCCTCTGGGCGTATTATATGTCGTCCCAAGTGAATACTAAGTTTGTGGTTGAGAGGCCCAGATTCACATCGAAGGTGTTTTGGTGTTTCACGCTTCTGATTGCAGTATCTGCATCATCAGTATCACTCAATTTCGTATGAGATTGGTGTCTGTTGAGTTTGCAGTGTCCAGTTAAGGCTCTTACGGTAGCTCGGGTGTTCGGCCTTTTTTTTGATATATATGGCAGGCAATAAATCTTTTTACAGACAATGGCGCCTTTAAGAGGCACTCCGCCGAACGGACCCTGGCTCCCGCAAGTCTTACGGAAACCCCCGGTAGCTGCCTACCAAGGACCCTTCTAACGAGCGCTTTACGGTATAATATCCTCTAAAAAAGTCCTGCGAATACCTTCAACACTGGTTGTTGCGGAGTTGTTGGGTCTTTTTTTGTAGCTAGTGAACAAATGACAGTAGTAATGGTCACAGAAAGTCGTTGTCAAAGTAGGCCAGCACGCGTGGTTCTTCTACGTTTTAGATTTGCAAGTCAGGCATAGCTTTTTAGCAGCAGTGAATACATTAATAGGCTGGTGATAATTGTAATATTAGATTCCTGCTTTAAGCAAGTATGGTAGACCTTCACTTGGTACGGGAATCGGTTTCAAGCAGGTTCAAGGTATTTTTTTAATTTAATTTAATTTAAAGTTTAATTCTCTAAAAATTTTCTTCAATTATATCTTGTGTAGACTTATGTAATACAACTAGCTAAATACTTACTGTTAGACCAGAGCAGTAATTTAATGTAACGTTTTCTCATTTCTATTGGTCGCATAGAGAACTGTGTGACAAGAAACCACCTGGAAATTAACCATCCCCGCAACTAGCAGCTTCCCGGCCTCACCGGGGCTCTACGGCAGGGGTCTCCCGAGGTATCGCGGGGACCCCGCAGACGTGTGCAGGAGGGCCCGCGTATGGGGGCTGAGTACGCGGCCTAGTGCCCACCATACCGCCCCCCGGCCGCTGCGGAGGGCTAATTGGGCGTACCCATGTAGCCCTCCGCGGCCCCCCTTTTTTAGGACAAAGCTACAAGGGAGGACGGGTGTTCGGCCTGCTAAGTTTTTCATTCTAAGTTCATAACTCAGCAGTTCGTTTTTCATTTGTTTTTTTATTTGTTATTTATTACAAAGCCTCCTTCATAACATGATAATGTACAACTAATCAAATAAAGTGAAGAGGATAATCTCGATGAGACAGGTGGTTAGCGTATTTAGCCTGCGATCTTGGAAGTTAAACAACTTGCGCAATGGACGGTCATTGGATGGGTGAACAAAACTTATTATTACGAGCTCCTCCGTGCTTCGGAAGTTAAGCCGTTGGTTCCGGCTGCATCTGCAGTCTTTCGCACCCAACATCTGAGCCTGCTTGATGGGTCACGGCTCAGTATCCCTTTTCCATCCATGGGGCAGGCCTGTGCCTCAGCAGTAGGGATATAATCGTGATGATGATGACGAATCATAATGATGGCGAATCAAATAAGAAAAACTTGTTAAATACACTTTTTCCTTTTTATTAGAAAACTATTTACAATTCGTATACAAAAAATAACAGTTAATACGCTACTACCTACGCTGAACACATACTGGCCGTCTGTCCAATCAACCACAAATCAATTTCAAGAGAAACGTTTTTGTAACTAAATTAATACAAATTTAAAAAAATAATAACATCAATCTGTGTTTGACTGTACAGAGTTGATGTACAGTCGACATCGCTATTTAGTAGCCGGCGTCGGCGTCGTAGCTGCTCCTTTTGCTGTCGTATTGATCTGAAAAACACAATTATATGACTGATTATTATATTTTTAAACATTTAAAAAAACTGAAGAAAATTTTACTAGAAAAAAATACTTGTTTCAGATTTTAGACTTTTAAAATATATATATATTTTTTGTATTTTTTATTATAATTTTTTAAGCATGTTAAAATCTAAAGAATATTTTACTAGAAAAAAATCCACGCAGACCAAGCAGCAGACGGGACTCGGGACCTTCTACAAGGCGATGGGTTTACCCTAACATTCCCTTCATCGACCAGAAAATCCATCATCTATCCTCTGTATTTTCTATAGGTGTTTATGCTTTTGGTCACAGATGACCTTTAGAAAGATCAAAGAAAGAAATAAATTTTTTGAGCCATAAACATAGTCATGTTAACATAAATAAAAAAAATCCAAAATACTAGGTTAACTTTACAGCGTCACCGGGCTTGGGGATGGCAAGATCCTAAGGGGAACTCAATCCGACAGTTGGCGAGTGCCTCTAGAGGTATTCCTGGCGGATGGCAATCCCCCCACCGGGGGAGTCTCCTCTCCGCCCGGAGCCTCTAGACCACTCGAACCTGAGGGGGTTGGCTCAACAAGAGGGCGTCTTTGAGACTTGGCCTCGACGTCGATTCTAGTTAGCCGTTGTCGTGGGGGGCTTGGAAAAACACCCAGGTTTATAAAGCATTGTTAAGCTACTTATAGCTAGAGCTGCTCCTAAGCTAAAGACTCCTCAGAATCTTCTTCAAGATTGGTGGTGGGGTCGGGAGATGGTCCCCTTCGCGTGGTAGCCATTCTCTTCTGCTATATAGGACATTCGAGTCATCGCTTACATCGCTTACTTATTGCTGAAACCACTAGTCAGATAAAGACTCCTCAGGATCTCATCAGGATGGATGGTGGAGTCGGGAGATGGCCCCCTTCGTATTGTTATGGTATATAGGATAGTTGAGCCTTAGTTTAAATTGCTGTGTAACTTACTGATGGAACCGCTATTTAGCTGCAGACTCTTCAGGATGGGTGGTGAGGTCTGTAGATAGGCCTCCTCCATGTGGCAGCCATTCTCGTTTGCTATACAGGATATTCGAGTCATCGCTCACATTGTTGTGTAACTTATTGCCGAAACCACTAGTCAGATAACGACTCCTCAGGATCTCTTCAGAATGGGTGATGGGTTCTGGAGATGGCCCCCTTTGCGTGGTAGCCATTCTGGTCTGGTATATAGGATACTTGAGCCATAGTTTAAATTTCTGTGTTACTCACTGTTGGAACAGCTAGTTAGCTGCAGACTCTTCAGGATGGGTGGTGAGGTCGGTAGATCCCCCCCCCCTCCATGTGGCAGCCATTCTCGTCTGCTTTATAGGACATCCGAGTCATCGCTTACATTGATGTGTTACTTATTGCCGAAACCACTAGTCAGATAAAGACTCCTCAGGATCTCTTCAGGATGGGCGGTAGGGTCGGGAGATGGACTTCTTTGCGTGGTAGCCTGTCCGGTCTGATATATAGCATACTTGAGCCATAGTTTAAATTGCTGTATTACTTACTGCTGGAACCGCTAGTTAGCTGCAGACTCTTCAGGATGGTTGGTGAGGTCGGTAGATCCCCCCCCCCCAACCCATGTGGCAGCCATTCTCGTCTGCTTTATAGGACATTCGAGTCATCGCTTACATTGCTGTGTTACTTATTTCTGAAACCACTAGTCAGATAAAGACTCCTCAGGATCTCTTCAGGATGGGCGGTAGGGTCGGGAGATGGACTTCTTTGCGTGGTAGCCTGTCCGGTCTGATATATAGGATACTTGAGCCATAGTTTAAATTGCTGTGTTACTTACTGCTGGAACCGCTAGTTAGCTGCAGACTCTTCAGGATCTCTTCAGGGATGGGTGGTGGTGTCGGCAGATGGGCACCCTCCGCGTGGTAGCCGTTCTCGTCTGCTGTGTACGATACGGAGTAGGTCTGGCCATCATCACCCACGTAAGAGTAGGACCCGGACACTTGGAGGGAACCCTCCTCGGGCGTCGCTCCGGGGAGCACACGACCTGGGAAATCATATAATCGTTAAAATCTAAGCGAATGGTTTTCATATTTGTTACTTAGGTTTCCACGCACATCACTCATTTAATAAAACAAGTTTTAACGGGTTAGATGCACTGATTTTATTTATTTACTAGCGGCCACCCGCGACTTCGTACGCGTGGAGTTAGTTTGAAATAAAGGTTCAATGCTCGTTCATCGTAGGTGATAGCGTGATAATATGTAGCCTATATGTTGACCCGACTTTTTAATAATATTCGAGCCAAATTTGAAGTAAATCCATGCAGTACTTTTTAGGTTTAACCCGGACATACATACAGACAAACAGACAAAAATTCTAAAAACTATATTTTTGGCTTCGGTATCGATTGTAGATCACACCATAACTATTCTTTAAAAAAAAACGACGGGTTGCACTCCGGGAGTGCCGGCAGAAGTGAAAACTTGAATATTAACGTTGTGCATTTTTGATATTTTGGAATGGTTAGGGAATAATTTTGCACGAATTGCTTTAATTATCAGTATAAAAGTACTATCATTTATGTGGTACAATACAATATTTATTTATTGCGCTATCGTACACAAACATGACAATTTATATAACATTAAAAAAGTTTATCTCTCAGAAAAATCAACTTACATGAATCACGTTTAAGCGCACTTAGCGACTTCTATTGTAAAGAAATCAACTTACATGAATCACATATAAGCGCACCTAGCGAAATCTATTGTAAAAAAATGCATTATCTTCGCAATAAAGCTGCCACATGGACGTCCCAGATAGACTTATTATTATAATACGGTAAAATAAAATATAACTATGTTTCGTCCAATATATTGAAAGTCAACAACCTTTCCAATTTTATTGAATGTCATGATGCGATCAGCCCAAGTGTTTAACCTGACGCGAGTTTAACATTTTTTACCCATACAAAAAAAAGTGTAGAACACCGCTAAAGAAGTTTTCACTTCAAAAATATTCAATGTACAGTTTTGAATTTCCTACCATTTTATTATACATATATATATGTGTTTGTGTTTGTATAGATTGACGTTTCGCATCCTTTGCAGGAATGCATCGTCGGAATATTATTCGCATCCTTTGCAGGAATGCATCGTTGGAATATAATTCGCATCCTTTGCAGGAATGCATCGTCGGAATATTATTCGCATCCTTTGCAGGAATGCATCGTTGGAATATAATTCGCATCCTTTGCAGGAATGCATCGTCGGAATATTATTCACATCCTTTGCAGGAATGCATCGTCGGAATTTTATTCGCATCCTTTGCAGGAATGCATCGTCGGAATTTTATTCGCATCCTTTGCAGGAATGCATCGTCGGAATATTATTCGCATCCTTTGCAGGAATGCATCGTTGGAATATAATTCGCATCCTTTGCAGGAATGCATCGTTGGAATATAATTCGCATCCTTTGCAGGAATGCATCGTCGGAATATAATTCGCATCCTTTGCAGGAATGCATCGTCGGAATATTATTCGCATCCTTTGCAGGAATGCATCGTTGGAATATAATTCGCATCCTTTGCAGGAATGCATCGTCGGAATATTATTCGCATCCTTTGCAGGAATGCATCGTTGGAATATAATTCGCATCCTTTGCAGGAATGCATCGTCGGAATATAATTCGCATCCTTTGCAGGAATGCATCGTCGGAATATTATTCGCATCCTTTGCAGGAATGCATCGTTGGAATATAATTCGCATCCTTTGCAGGAATGCATCGTCGGAATATTATTCGCATCCTTTGCAGGAATGCATCGTTGGAATATAATTCGCATCCTTTGCAGGAATGCATCGTCGGAATATTATTCGCATCCTTTGCAGGAATGCATCGTCAGAATAATATTCCGACGATGCATGCGACGCAGAATAGTTTAGTTTTAATATACTAGTTTTCTTAATCAACTTGAAAGTACAAACCAACTTTTTTGAGTGGGAAATCCTCTATGCAGTACCTATCTCAGTTTTAGTTTCGTAACTTTAAAATTACTGCGTGTATAAAGAAACTTTATGCATGGACTATTAACTAAATTTAAGTAAGTTTTCTCATTAGTCAAGCTTAAAACTGAAATATCATACGATATTAAAGTTTTAAATTGTTCTACTTCAGTACGTTCATATTACGAGGAGCTCGATGGCGCCAGTGGTTAGCGCGTTCGGCTGCGGTCGTTGAAGTTGAGCAACTCTCGCAGTGGTCGGTCATTGGATGGGCGACCAAAAATTTACTATCTCGAGCTCCTCCGTGCTTCGGAAGGCACGTTAAGCCGTTGGTCCCGGCTGCATTCGCAGTCGTTAGCACCCACCAACCCGCAGTGGGCCCGCGTGGTGGGTTATGGCCCAATCTTCCTAATCCATCCATAGGGAAGGCCTGTGCCCCAGCAGTGGGAACATTAATAGGCTGATGATGATGATGACGTTCATATTATCCAAAGATGGTTTGTTTTAAATCAACTGTAATAATTTCAGACATAAACAAATTATGTACCTATACAGTTAAACAAAACGTACAACTTGTTACATCGTTAACCTTTTACGAAATAATTGGTCGTTTTAACCTTTTAAGTTTGAAATAACAGTTGGTATCATGCGTCATAAGATTGTATAGCATTGATGAATGTTTAGGTACAGTGATTAAAGGAAAAACTAATTTTCTCAAAAAGTCATTACATCATGAATCTTACTGGAGGAGCTCGACGGACGAACTGACGGCGAGATCGATCTGTGATCGCGGAAGTTAAAAAACTTTTGCAATGACCAGCGATAGGGATGGGTGACCAAGGTATTCTGCTAACCCACGCAAATGATATATGCTGTGAAGTTAATAACTATAGCATATATATCACAGAGTATGCTCCGACCGTAAAGAAATTAGTTAACACGTGTGATAGAACCCAAAACAATGACGATACCATAAACAACAAGTCGCCCTAGCATGAGCACCACAATTTACATTATATCACGATTTTTATCTCAATCGTCAAACGTTAAACTAATTTGACAGTTGAGCGTGATAAACACTAGCTATATATCATATCTGCAGGCCCGAGATAGAAATGTTAATATGTCTAAAACTTAATGAACAAGTTAGCAACTTGACTAATCTACGATTTTCCTTTTAATGTGAACACTGAAGAAATTAATCGCATTTTTTTAATATATTTTTATTTATCTTATATAATTTTAGTCGTACATGTTTTCAATCTACATTTTGCAGCTAAAGAAAACTACCTACTAACTGTACTAAATTAGTATATAAATATTGAATAAACATACCTCATATTTTTTTAATCTTTCTAGGTCACTAACATTATAGATGTTAGTGATACTGTTGCAAGAGCCATGATCACGGGCTAAATAGTTATTCCGTGATCATGGCGCTTGCAGCAGTGCCAAAATATCGGAAACTCGCTCAAAGGTACATGGTAAAAATCTAGGGGATTGTTACCATGTACCTTGCTTTTATATAAATAAATTTCTATAAACCTACCTTGTTGCTCAGCTTTGGTTCCATCACTGGTTTCGTACGCATAATGGTATCCGTCCTCGTTGATTTCGTTGTCGTATTTCAGAATCTCTGCGTTGGCTGATGCGCTGGCAGCACCGGAGTATGAGGCTGATGCTTGAGCCGCTGATCCTGAAGATCCGAAGGGGGCCTGGAGACCAGCGCTGGCGCCGCTGGAAGCCCTCGCGTTGGGCGGGAGGTAGACATTCTCCAGTTTAGCTGCAGCAGCTGCTGAGATCAGAGCAAGGACGGCGAACTGGAAAAAGTTAGGTTGAATAGGTTTAACCACTTTCATTAAGGTTTCATTATAAGGATTTTACCCAATGCGTCCTACCCGTGATGACATACGGACGTGGCCGCTAGCAGTAAGGATAGTCCACCAAATTTAGGTCGCTCAGCGAGCTGTCGAAAGAGCTATGTTGGGGATTTCTCTGAACGATCAGATCCGAAGCGACCTAATTCTCCAGGGAATTAAAGTCGCTGACATAGCTCAACGGGTAAGCAAGCTGAAGTGGCAGTGGGCTGGTCAAATATGCCGTTGGTTGGTTAGCCGCTGGGGCAGACAAGTCCTGGAGTGGAAACCGTGAATCGGCAAACCGGTAGTGTGGGGTGTCTTGCGACTAGAATAGAATGAAGAATAGAATATAATAAAGACCTAGACCTTGAATGAAGACCCGAGGCGAAGAAAGAAGAGGACCGTACAATTTGGAGCCAGCGGTACCACTTCAGAGTGGGCACGGGACGGCTGGGATGACGACGAAGGCGTTTCGTGTAAGTCCGCCCTAGAAAGGGGAGAGGGACCATGGGCACAAAAGAGAAAGATAAAGAATAATTTGTAGGGAGTCAAGAAAGTCATTCCCCGCGTATCTCCCGCTGCTTCGGCCTGCCTAACCAAGACGGTTCGCCAGGCTATGCGTGGTTGGTGGGATTTGTCCTGCTGGAGATATGGAGTAACGACATCCGAGAAGCAGCTATGATTGGATGATGAGAGCTGAAGACCGAGCTCAATGGCGTGCCATGGGAGAGGCCAGCAGTGGACTGATACGGGTTGATGATGATGAATCACTTTCATAAGTTTATTCGGCACACACACACACACACACACATACACATACACCTACACATCATTTTCATACATTACATATTAATTCAAATATTATACTCATAGATGCCTTGCTTTTAAAATGACCTACTGATCTTTTCATTTATGAGATATTTATTTAGTCTAGTTTAGTATTCTCATGTCTGTGGGGGTTTATGGCGCTGAATGCTGAAATACAGGCATTGCCTAGTTCAGCAGCAGAGGCTAATAAATTATACTTTCTGTAACTAGTGCTAAGTTTGTTACGTAATCTTACTGTACTGATTTTTTTGGTCAATAAATCTTATTATTAATATTATTAGTTTATTCGGTAGTCTATAAATATTGAACATGGTGTTATATTCGTTCCAAAAAGGAGTTCATCTGCTCTAACTTCAATTTTCTGAGATTCAGGATTCTAACATTTTTTCGGGATTAAATGTGTCCTATGTCACAATTCAGGAAGTGAAGACATTGTGTGTCAAGTTTCATCCTAGTCCATTCAGCTGTTTTTGCGTAATTTAGTAATAAACATGCAAATATACCAAACTATCAAGTTTTGTTTGAAATATTAGTAGGAAGTAGGATTGAATATTGCGTTCAAAACAGCTACAACGATTTGCGACCACAAAAGCTGTAAAGACCCGCAACGTGAAGATAAATTAAATAAAAGAAATAAATATTTTTACAACCAACACTTACACCAATTAGCCTTGTACCCAAAGTAAGTACTGTAAGGCTTGTGTTATGGGATACTAAGGTAACGGATACAATACATATACTGTACATATATAAGTATATTTATATAGAAATACATATGAAACATCCATGACTGGAGTAGAAAGAGACAAATGCTCGTATTCATCACACAAACATCAGCCCCCACCAGGACTCGAACCCGGGACGTCTCGAGTCGGCGACACCATGAAACCCGGCGTACAAACCACTCGACCATGGAGGTCGTCAAATAAAGAAACCCACTCAAAAAGTGTTTTTATAAAGCGTGATTTTTTTTCATAAGAAAATGAAATATATTTTTTCTACTTAAAGGCATATTGTCATCTCTTAGCACAGTATCATTATAATTTTACTATGTCAATTCGTACGACAAATTCTCATAAAGAAGCTTATTATAATATTAGTAATCAATGGAAATTTTGGGACTGTATTAGTTTAACATTTACTCTTATGTCATGTCGCGTGACATTATTGTTTTGTGTTTATTAGTAAATCATGGTACGGATTTGAGTAATGTTATATAATGCTAAGAATAAAATGTTTGATCAAAGATAATTGTAGGTCACCTAACACAAAGTGTAATCTAATCAGAAGATTTTATGTGAAATAGTATTTGTGTTATTCAAGTCGTCCATATTTTAATGGATTGAACTCAATTCCTTTACCTAGTGGAGTATTGGCTATATTGCTCACTATTTAATTGACATTCTTGCACACAACATAACATATAATAGAGTTACAGTAGATTATCCTAATTAATTGGGACCGCGGTCGATTCGGATAATCAGACATAGATTGGTAATTAAGAAAAACGAACTGTCACATCTATCTTCTATCTATATACAGACCTATATAAAACTCAAAGGTGACTGACTGACATAGTGATCTATCAACGCACAGCCCAAACCACAGGACGGATCGGGCTGAAATTTGGCATGCAGGTAGATGTTATGACGTACGCATCCGCTAAGAAAGGATTTTGATCAATTCTTCCCCCAAGGGGATAAAATAGGGAAAGAAAGTTTGTATGAAACTTTGTCAATTTTAAACCGATCGGGCTGAGACTTTGCATGCAGGTATAAGAAGAATCATAGATGAATGTCATTGTGTATAATACAAGCCTGAGAACAAAAACTGTAGTCTACACTTCAGCTCTACACCGAAGCGAAGCGTGGGCGGGCCGCTAGTATAGAATAACCCTTATAAGTTTAACAATACTAAATACTTGTTTCTTAGGTTTTCACGCACATCACTCATTAAATAAACGGTATAGTTTTTACGGGTTAATGCACGAAACGTCAATAAATAAATAAAGTTTCGTGCATTAATCCGTAAAAACTAGTTTTATTTAATACTAAATACAACATAAGAGGTACATAGTAGCAAAAAAACCGCGCCACGCAAAACATGTAGTATCTTGCCTCTAGCTTTCAACCATAACAGTTGAAATATATCTGGACTCTAGCGAGTTCCGACTAGTTACAACAAAACAAAAATAACTTGGTTTTAATTTTTTAAATTACGCTTAGGACTGATTCGGAAAATTGGGGATTCATTTAATCAGCGTTCCACTGTATTTGGTTACAGCCTTCTATAATAATGCGTTCATAATAATTTGAAATAGTGCCTCGAAGTCACAATGTCGAATCTAAATTTATGATTCGACATTGTGACTTCGAGGCACTATTTCAAAAAGTTTTTAAACGAATTAAAATTTGAACTTAAATCCCCGTCGGAATCAAATTTGATTTTAATAAATTAATGAAAAACACTCAATCTGAGTTAGAAGATTAAACGAGCTTCAAATAAAGTCAACACTAATAAGCTTCGCGAATCAGGCAGCGGACAGGACTCGAACCCGCATCCTTCGCAATTCGGGCTAATGCACTGACCAATTATGCTACCACGTTATTTTTTCTAGTAAAACTTTTTTTTTATATTTAAACATCTAGCAGTTAAATGCTTAAAAAAAACATAACTAATAAGCTCGTTTCTTTTCTGTTGTTAAAGCAAAAACTACGCAAGCGAAAGAAAACACACTTAATCTTTATGAGTCGACGAAAGCTTAAATGATGTAAGTTGAAAACATCGTAATCTTTTTCTTTACAAAAAACTAAACGCGTTTTATTAAATTGAAAACACTTGATTCCCGATATGACGACAAGTAATTTACACCTTTTTTTTATACGCAGGCAAAAAATACTATTTACAGACGACGGCGCCTTTAAGAGACACACCGCCGAACGGACCTCACACATTTAGTAAATTCACGGAGAAATTCCCCAATATCGGGAATATCAGAAATACTGCCGGAAAATTGGAAAATAGAGGTTAATATTCCTGAGGGTGGCACAACACAGGTCACATGCAAAAAATACTATTTACAGACGACGGTGCCTTTAAGAGGCACACCGCCGAACGAATCTCACACATTTAGTAAATTCACGGATAAATTCCGCAATATCGGGAAAATTGGAAAATACAGGTTAATATTCCCGAGGGTGGCACAACACAGGTCACAGGCAAAAAATACTATTTACAGACGACGGCGCCTTTAAGAGGCACACCGCCGAACGGACCTCACACATTTAGTAAATTCACGGAGAAATTCCGCATTCTCGGGAATATCAGAAATACCGCCGAAAAATTGGAAAATATAGGTTAATATTCCCGATGGTGGCACAACACAGGTCACAGGCAAAAAATACTATTTACAGACGACGGCGCCTTTAAGAGGCACACCGCCGAACGGACCTCACACATTTAGTAAATTCACGGAGAAATTCTGCATACTCGGGAATATCAGAAATACTGCCGGAAAATTGGAAAATATAGGTTAATATTCCCGAGGGTGGCACAACACAGGTCACAACACAAATTCCGCCAACGAAAAAGGAAAAACAGAAAAAACACTTGAACACAATTACTCAACTACACAAACAAGTTTGTATACTAACATATTTCATGGTTGATGCGTTTCCGAAGAAGGATCTAAGTGAAATGTGTGCTGTTTCGTATCAACCGCCGTTATATATACTGCTCGCAAGTCACTCCAAATATTTGAATGATACACAATCGAATAGCATAATCTTCATTCGACCCTTTTGCGACTTAACATCCGTAATTCTTGCATAATAAAGTACAGAATCGCACTTCAAATTCACCACATGCATGATCTCGCAAGGACCGCTCTGAAGATCTTCGACATTTAATGTGTTTTAATTAAAAGTAATTTAGTTTTGAGCATTTTATAACATTGAAATAATGACTACGATTTATTTTTATATAGGTCAGTTGAAGCTAAATAAAAGTTAGGTTTTTTTAAAGCATTTATCTGCTAGATGTTTAAATCTAAAGAAAAGTTTTACTAGAAAAAAAAAACACGAGGACCAGGCAGCGGACGGGACCCGAACCCGCACCCTTCGCAATCCAGGCGAATGCACTGACTAATTATGCTACCGCGGCCCTGATGGCCGCGTAGAAATTTTCCTAGCCTTAAACTGCAAGGCAGCGCCATCTCTTCGCATTATAGTTAACCCACAATGTCAAATGAATACTTTTTCAAGTATTTCCCATCCGTTGCCTGACCCGCGTGGATTTTTTTTCTAGTAAAACTTTTCTTTAAATATAAATAAAAGTGTTAAATTAGCGTATTTCTGATAAAAAAGGCTTGGTTTTTATTTCTAATGCAAGTTCTATATTGATCCACCTCCTAGGGGTTTCTCATTGTCGTGGATATAATGCATTTTTTCTCCCCGTCATCGAAAAAAAGGGATTACTTATAAAAGTAAAGCAAAGTTTTAAGTATAATCTGTTTGTTAGTAGAAACTGTGCGGAAAGGGAATGGGATTTAGATTGGAGGGCGCTGTAGTGCTTTTCTACCGTATTTGTAAGGTTTTACCCCTTTTAGACATGATTAAATACAAGAAATCCGTATTAATACAAAACTTTGACGTTTTACAGACTGCTGGGTTTGATTGCCAAAATAAAAATCTTTATGTTAGTTCCGTTTTTCATCACGCCCATTCTCTTTCCGCACAGACTCTAACAAACAGCCATCCCACTATGGATCCATTGTTATCCGAAATAAATGATTATTATATTATTATTATAAAAACCTTGTTTTATTTGCAGTTGATGCAAAAATTAGTAAAGCTATTAGGAATGAAAACTATTGCGTTGCACTTCAACGAGGTATTAAGAATTTATCTAATTACTGTTTACACAATCAACTTTTTTTGAATCTCATCATCATTATCATCAGCCTATTAATGTCCCCACTGCTGGGGCACTGGCCTTCCCTATAGATGGAATAGGGAGATTGGGTCATGACCCACCACGCGGGTCCAGTGCGGATTGGTAGGTGCTGACGACTGCAGATGCAGCCGGGACCAACGGCTTAACGTGCCTTCCGAAGCACGAAGGAGCTCGGGATAGTAAATTTTTTGGTCACCCATCCAATGATCGACCACTGGGAAAGTTGCTTAACTTCAACGATCGCAGCCGAACTCGCTAACCACTTGCGCCATCGAGCTCCTCCCTTTTTCATCGAGCTTTTGAATATAGATAAATGCTTTATTTTAAGTTTTACTTAAAAACTTAAGCCGATGACTTTCACATATAAACTTAACAATAGCACCTTGACCAGGGTTAGTAAAATTCGAGATCCAGGTGCACTTTTAGATAACAAACTTTCCTATATAGAACAATATGATCATCTAATCTAATATATCAATAATATAAAAAAGATTCGCTGAATGTGTTTCTCGTCCACTGCTGGACATAGGTCTCCCCTAATGCACGCCACTGCTCCCGATTTTCTGCCACTCTCATCCAGCCACTCCAGCCAGCCTACGAATGTCATCATCCCATCTTGTCTCAGGGCGTCCCACACTACGTTTACCGAGTCGCGGTCTCCACTCAAGAATTTTACGGCTCCATCGGCCGTCAGCTCTGCGGCTAATGTGACCAGCCCACTGCCACTTCAGTTTGCTTGTTTGTTTGTTTGTTTCTAAGCGCAAATCTCGAGACCAGCTGAACCGATTTCGATAAGTCTTTTTTTTGAATATTCCTTGAATTACGAGGATGGTTCTTACGCAGAGAAAAAATAAAAAATTGCCTGAAGTCCAAAAACAATAATTTTCTATACTCCCATACAAACGATTCGTAATAATACTTCAAAGTCAATTTGAACTTTAATACCATACCATAAATTTCAAATCTTAGTGTAGAGGTTCCGGGAAGGCAAAACAATTGAGTGACGTGATGTCAATAGAAGGTTGAAAAAAGCAAATATATCATTTTCAGGTTTTTTTTATAATTATATAAAGAGGCATTTTAGTGTACACTACAGCTCTACACCGAAGCGAAGCGAGGGCGGGCCACTAGTATAGGTATAAAATTCTCGTGTCACGGTGTGCGTAATTGAACTACTCCGAAACGGCTCGACCGATTTTCGTGTAATTTGCAGTTTGCATTTTAAATATGCATATTCAGTAGGCCTGAGAATCGGACATCTATTTTTCATCCCCCTTAATGCTATAAATGGTGGTACACCCTTAAATTTTGTTTATGGACAAAATTTTTTGTCTTTATTTTTTTATGATACATCATACAAAAATACATACAACCCTAAATTCACCCTTCTACCACCAACCCCTATTTTTTATGGCGGTACGAATTATATAGAACTCTTATAAGCAATATATTGTTTTAAACTTTCATGGTCACTAACATTATAGTAATATAAGTTATTTACGGGATTGTTACCATGTACCTTGTTTTTAGCGAAATATCGGAAACTCGCTAAAAACAAGGTACATGGTAACAATCCCGTAAATAACTTATATTACTATAATCTTATAAGCAACTCCGATTTCTGCTCAGAGTCTGTAAGCCATTTAAAATGGAAGATACAAACAAAACTGTTTATTTCGCCCTAGTGCGTTCAATCCTGGATTTTTGTCCCTATTACTCATGCCACATAAATAGACTCAAAAACATACAAATATTTAAAAAAAAAACTTTGTATGCTTCGGAACACAGAAAAGGAGCTTTACTCTCTTTCTCCGAAACGAAATTTCGGTAACGAACGAATTTTAAACGAAATTTCGCCATTGACTCTACTCAATTTCATTTTCGAATATTAACTTCGGAACCATAAACAGTTTTCGTGAACGAATGGAATGAGTCATGTTTGTGAGTTCTTCTTATCTCTACTTTCAATGATAGTGAAACAATATAGGTAGTTTACGGCAAATTTTTTGATGACATTGAAAGAACCTTCTTTGACAGTGTTAGCCGACTAATTTGTAGAGTTGATACTCGTACAATCTACTGTATGTCAACCTAAATTTGTCGTTTAATACTTTGAAGTATCGAAATTACAATAAATAATAAAAAAATGGTTTATTTCTTAATTATACCTGCTAAAAATGTGTCTCGACTTAGCTCGAGCTATTATTAAAAATACTCTTGTAAGTATTTCAGGCTTAATTAAAACAAAAATCTCAAAACGAAAATGAAAAGGTAACACTTTTCATTTCGTCAATTTGAGGTTAAAATTTCGAACAATTATCTGTCAAATTCAACTTTTCCTTCGAAAGTTTTGTGAATTAGAGTAGTCTTGGAGAATTTAATTGTCAAACTATTTCGGCCAAACGAATTTTACGAAATGAAAAGGAAACAGAGTAAGGAACGTCCGAATTATCTATCAAAATTTCGTTTTTCGTAGAAACGTAGGCCCCCTGGATCCCTTTATTCATCTTACAACGATTCCCTTAAAAAAACACAAATTATCCACCCTTTCTTTCTGACGGATACAATTTGATCTCAAATACTTATATAAGTTGATACATAGTGTTGTTGATTCCCCTAACCTACTTGAAGAAATAAAGCTTAAGATTCCATTGAATACTTGAAAAGTGTTCGCAGGCCTAATGATATGTTCTCTTCGTTCCCAAGATTAAGTACTAATTACACTACAAATGCCTTCTTCCAACGTTGTTTGACTATATATAAATAAGTTGCTCATATAGATATCTATTGTCTAAACCTTATCAAGTTTAAGTCTCGGAGAATGGAACATTTTATATAAAAACTATAAAAGATACCGATATGAGCTATATATAGCGACATCCCTATCTAACTATGCTCAAGACTAGATCAATCACTCAGAAGAAAAAGAAGAATTCTATAATACGGGCCTAAGTCTAAGTAGCACGGCGGGCTGTTTCAGCAACTCGACACCCAGTGCCTATTTTGCGTGGGGATCGGCATCAGTCCTGCCATCCCAGCTCCTCCAGAAAGCTCAGCAGTCCCCGAATGTTGCTGCAGGCCTCTACTATTGTCTTCGGGCTTCCCATTATAGAAGTCCTTTGTTTTGCAATGCCCCTGCACACCAGAAGAACATGGGCGCTCGTCTCCTCGTCCTCCAGGCAGGCTCTGCACAGAGGGCTGTCAGAAATACCTATATTACAAAGGTGTTTGTTGAAGTAGCCGTGACCCGTGAGTATACCCACGATTTGTTTTAGGGCTTGATTAGGTAGTCTGATTAACTTACGTGTTAGCTGTAGGTTTACCTCGGGAACGGCTTCTCTAGCTTGCCTGCAGTCCGTGAGTTTTGCCCAGTATTCGTCGTGTTATTATGCTCCTTCAGTGATAACGTTTCTCACTTCTTCTCTCTCTTCTTGTTTCTCACTCACAATCACAGCGGTTAGCCTAGCCCCAAAGTTAACCCTGTTAGACTTATAATTTTTATTCTTTTAAAGAATGTAACTGTTTGATGTTTAAATCTAAAGAAAATATAACTAGAAAACATTTTACGCGGACCAGGCAGTAGATGGGACTCGAACCCTCGCCCTTCGCAATCCGGGCGAATTCACAGACCAATTATGCTACCGCAGCTCTCACGGACCGCGTCGAAATTCCTCTAGCCCTTCTTAAGCTGCAAGGTAGCGCCATCTCTTCGCATTATAGGTAACCGATAATGTCATCA